AACACTTCTACAGAACAGAAAGCTGTGAACTGTTGAACCGTTGAACCGTATTTCTCCCCCAAACAACTCGACAAAAAAGAGCAAACGAAAACCCATTACGCATCACCGACCTGGAAGAAAACAAAAAATATTGCAACCGTAAACATTTGGCAATCAATCCACAACAGAAACTTCTGGCACATCCTTTGAACCAGGATTTCTAAACTTTCAAACAAGGGATTTGATGGACTATAATAAATGTTGTTTTTGACTTCCTTTTTCTAAATACGATCCGTGAATTATGTTTTGCAGAAAAAAATTGAGGGGCGTCAAAGGTTTATGCTCTCCTGGCTCCTACACATTGGTGTGGGGAAAAAAAATCTACAAATATTATTCTATTTCTGTACAAGGCATTGAAATAACCTTAAATGAAAATAAGGAATGAAAACTGCTAACAGGGTACCACCAATTTTTCTTCAGCTTGGCTTTTCAGTGCTGGACACCTCTTCCCAATTTCTGTGGATGTTGTTTCAAAAGGAAAGGAATTACCACTGACACCACCACCGTAATGCGCAAACCAGTCTAAACCATCTTCAAATGGATTTTTCTTTTTTTTTAACTGGCATTTGCAGAATTGTCATCATCCTGCAGAAAAGAACTTGCAAAATCAGAAATTCTTGGTGCTTTTGAAAAACCCCGAGGGGAAGGTCACTGACCTCTTCCTAGTACAAATGATTCAAAGGCTTCTAAATTAAAAAAAAAAAAAAAGCAAGGACTTCCCCAACTTAAAAAGCCACGTTCACAAAAAAAAACCCAAAATCTCTCAGGAGTAAGTAGTATGTAAAACATTGCCGGATTTATGGATGCCAGAGGCTCCATCAGTGGTGGAGGAAACCCAAGTAACCTTTTTGTGTGTCTCTTGTGTGTGTGTGTTGCAAAAGATTGGCTGCCTTGGCCTGGTTTCAAACAGGATACTTCAGGGGTCACCATCTGTAGCCCCCTCCCCAGTCGACCGTAACTAACCCCATGGCATGTTGGGAGTTGTAGTTTGCCAACTTGGATGCCACTGTGAACAGCAAACTCAAGAGTGCAGACCTCTCTCTCTCTCTCTCTCTCTCTCTCTCTCTCTCTCTCTCTCTCTCGTGGATTTTTTAAAAACCAGAATCTGGCTTTGCAGAGAAACTTAAGCAGAATTGGAATCCGAGCCCTGCGCCACCCAACTGCTTCAGTCCCGCACAACAAAGCTGTGATTAGAGAGCAGGGCTCCAGTCCATCAGTTGGCCACCTGGATCTCAAGAAGACCTTGGATTTGAACCTCTTTGCTTTGGAAGGAGTCAGAAAGAGAAGGCTGGCTCGAAAAGAAAACCGGGAATCAGAAGCAGCGAGGGAATATCCTCCTCACTCAGAACTGGAAACTTGAGACTCAAAACATCCAGCTTGCAATTGGACTAGCCTTGGTCTTCCTTGTCTCTTCCACCCGCCGTTTTCCTTTGCAGGATGGTCTCACTTCAGCTCCATCAGGGAATAGCTCGACTCCTGCCAGCTCCAATAAGGGCCGAAGGGCAGGTCGGAGAGAGCCGGGACGGAAGGTCCGGGAGCCCCCGAGGGCTGAAGAAGCAGCGGCGGCGGCGGCGGGGGAGTCACCCCGTCGGGCAGCCAAAGGCGGAGACAGGGCTCGTAGCCCCCCAAAGGGACGATCCCCAGCGGGCGGTGGCCGATCGGATGCGAGGGGGTCTGTCCCACCGCCGCGGGACCCCAGAGGCATCCAGCCGGAGCGCAGGATCGCTGGACTGGGAGCTCCACCACGCGAGGAGGAGGAGGCGGCGGCGGCGGGGCAGCGGGGGCGGCCAGCGGGGGCGATGATCTCCGGGCGCGTCTCCGCCGCGGGTACTTGCCCGGCTCGAACGTGCTTCGGAAAGCCGGGTCCAGCGTCCAATCGCTGCCCTTGCGCGGGCCGCCCACGCGGGGCAGCTTGACGAAGCACTCGTGGAGGCTCAGGTTGTGGCGCACGCTGTTCTGCCAACTGCGCTGGCCCAGCCGGTAGTAGGGAAAGCGGCCGGCGATGTATTGGTAGATGGAGCGCAGCGGCAAGCGCCGGCCCGGGCTGGCCTCGATGGCCATGGCGATCAGGGCCATATAGGAGTAAGGGGGCTTCGTGGCCTCCCCCGTGGCCTCCTCCCCCTCCCCGGGCCGTTCCTCCTGGGCCGAACCTGGGCCGAGTTCCGGAGCGCAGCGCTTGGAGAGCTTCTCCTGGGCGCGGCGCTTGGAGAGCCTCTCCAAAGCGCGCTTTTGGAGACGCGACGCGCCCACCTTTCCTCGCCCGTCTCTCGTTTGGGGGGACTCGGGGGACCCGGCCGGGGAAGGGCGCGGGGAGCCCCCGGAGGATCGAAGGGGATCCAGCTTTGGGGGTGGGGACGATCGCGAGTATGCAAGGCGCGCCCAGCTCCTCGGCAGCCTGGAGCGCTTCTGCGCCCCTCCGCTGACCCCCGAGGTTCATAGACGGGTCAACGACGAGATGTAACTCTCCGGAGAGATGTAGCAACTGTAGCCATACTTTTGAGAGGGGGTTGGAGATCTTCTTCCCTCCCTGTGGATTGCACTTGGCTTTTCCTTCGGATATGCACGGCTAGGGATTTTTAGAGCTGCATGCGCCGTTTTGTGTGTGTTTGTGTGTTTATGTATGTGTATATATGTGTGTGTGTGGATGGATGGATGCATTTCATATTTATGATCGTTTCGATCCTCGGTGACGAATAAAATAAAGGGATTCCCCCCCCCCCGGACCAAATCCAAGCGAGCAGAGCCGCAACTCTGTCCATGCTCTAAATTACCCTTGTTTGCAATTCATCTCCAAAACGGTGGCCGTTTTTGGAGAGGAAGAGGAAATTCCTGCCGGCGACTCGCTTAATCTGCAAACTCTGCAAAGCTCTGCATGGCGCGTTTCCCGTCCAAGATTGGAATAATTTCCTTTGCGCGTTGCATTGCGAAGACTTCCTTCGCCTCCTCCTGTTATTTGCAATAATTGAAGAGAAAGGGGGTTTGACGCCAGCGCCCTGACCTCGCACACCAGCCACAACGGACATTTTCCTCGGTTGCCAAATTATCTTGGTTTGCTAGACGTTGACCAGATGCATTTTGACCAAGATACGTTTGCAACTTGCTTAGCCATCTCTTACAAACGACGCCTTGGTAGTCTCTTAAATTCCATTACACTCCTGTGAGAGGTTATGGGAGTCCTAGTCCCCCGATGGGCAATCCATTGGAGTCTTGCTTTTTTAAAAATATATATATATATATCAATGTTTGCAATTTTAAGTGGGGTGGGGGGTGGGGAAGGCGGTTAAAAATAGCCAACAATCCAAAATAATTGAGAGGTACAAGAACTAAAGGCTACAAATTTAAAATTGCATCTTCGAAAAGACCGGTAAATCTGTGGTCGGAAAGCCTGCCCCCTTGTGGATACCTTTGGTCATATCGCCCCCCCCCCCCCCCCCAAAAGCTTTTAAAATTGAATTTGAAATTGAAAACGTCAGACGGCGTCTTTAGAGGGAGATGCACGAGGAAAAAGTTAACGTTGCCATGAAAGG